AAAATTTGACCAACTAAAGATAAATTTTTTGCTTTAATGTGAAAAAATGTTGTCAAATCAAACATGGTTGGTTGAATTATAGACTAAACCGCGATTGTATTCAAATTAAAGAAACTGAATGTAATTATCCCTGGTTAATGGAGTAAGTTTACAGAGAAAAGATTTCTATGTCTTATCCGTCAGTAAGATAAAATTGTTAACTGGTTAGTAGACTGGACTAACGTTTTAGAAAATAACCGAAATATTGTGTTTTTTTAAGAAAAAGAACAGTTAAGTTATGAGTTAACGGTTGCCTGATGGACCTTTCCGTTTCGTTATTTTAACCGTAAACCGTTAACAGTAAACCGTTAACGAACTGGAATGTAAAATCGTTGTTTTATTTTGTGCTTCGAAATTACCACATTTTCGGTGTATCAAGAAAACAATAAGAATAGAAAACAATTTATTTATCATTGTTCAAAACAATTGTCAACAAAAAGCTTCATTACAATTTTCAGAAGATTAGAAGAATATATATAAATTGTATTAAATATCTCAGAATTCTGAACCAATAGAAATTGCATGGCGGTAACATCTATCTTTCTATCTATCTCATTATCCAATTAGAGTTATGAATCCTTCAATCGGCGCTATCTGTAAATGGAAATATTTACCTCTACTGAAACTAAAGTGAGATGGCAATGCCAGATTCACAATGGTACCCATAAAACCCTTATTTGATTAATAATTTGGAAGATATCGTCGTTTTTTAGCTGATAAAGTGTTTAAATCTGAGAATTCCTACATGTTTTCCTGCATCAGAAATGCGCCAGTTACTTTAGTAGAGAATTCTCAGTTAATAATAATAAGTTTTCAAACATTGATTCATACTTAATCAGACTAAGTTTTTAAAGGTACCATTGCTATCTTTGCATGGAGGGTCACTTGAAATTTAGCTTACTGTCCCCTTATAACATGACAAACAAATATTAGGAGCAACATTTAAAATGGTATAAAGTATTAAGAGCGAAGTTGATAATTGTTAAAAATAACTTCAAAAAAGTTTATGAGCAAAATTAAAAATAGTCAGAAAAACTTTTTTTTTATTTCTGAAAGCATGGTATAAAGACACATTTCTGTCAAAAAAATTGTCAAACCAAAAATTAAAAACGTACAAATGCTCATTTCCTATTGCAATATTTCTGTTTACTGTTGGGCAAATAATTTATTTTCTAAAAACCATTTGTTTTTCAATATTTATACAGAATTCAGGATTCAGCTGACACATTTATTGATATTGTCCACAATTGAATATTGGGCTATTTTCTCTCTTTATGTTATTCACTGGAGCTATCTATCTATCTATCTATCTATCTATCTATCTATCTATCTATCTATCTATCTATCTATCTATCTGTCTGTCTGTCTATCTATCTATCTATCTTCTATCTATCTATCTATCTATCTATCTATCTATCTATCTATCTATCTATCTATCTATCTATCTATCTATCTATCTATCTATCTATCTATCTATCTATCTATCTATCTATCTATCTATCTATCTATCTATCTATCTATCTATATATCCATCTATCAATATATCTATCTATATATCTATCTATCTATCTGTCTATCTATCTATCTATCTCCAGGTTCTATAGATTACAATGAAAATGTACCGTGAGTAAAATTGCATGATTTGAAATTGTTCATTATTGGATTTTCTCTGGTTTATACCTGACTAGTACACGAACACTCTTCTCTAACCTTGAAACAAAAAGAAAAATATTTTTTTAAAATATACAATATAATACTTTTTTGTCTCGATTAGCAATAATCTTTTCTTTAGAATATTTTTTTATCGAAAATAAGGTTCAATTTTAAGATATTTAAAGACGTTTTGCTCTTAGACAAAGCTGACAACCTTGGCACAACCCACCTGGCTCTAAATACCACAGAAGGACACAAGCGTAGCTATCCAGCAAGCTATTATCAAACAGGACACAACCCACCTGGCTCTAAATGCCACAGAGGGACACAAGCCTGGCTATCCAACACGCTATTATTAAACAGGACACAACCCACCTGGCTCTAAATGCCACACAGGAACACAAGCGTACCTATCCAGCAAGCTATTAATTCAGAGCTCTAAACGACAAACCAGGACATAAGCCTAGCTATACTACAAGCTATATATATTGATCCAACCTGGTTATATTAACACAGGGTTTGAACTTTCAATACCCAATAAAAGCCACACAAAGAAACAAACATGTCTATCAAAAATATAATCTATATATATATCGATCCCAAATGATGGGGACAATCCAACCCAAGGATTTAATGCAAGGAAAGTTATTTCAGAGGTGTATGCATCTTTTATACTGCAGTGTGCTGTCACTGGGCGGTAATGTAAACACAAAACGGATTTCAAAGCCTGACATGGGATCTATCTTTCACATAAATAATCAATGAAATATTCTGGTCATAGGAAACTGTTATGTGAATTATCAAAATTATCAAAATTCAATGCTTTTAACCTCCTCGGATATATCAACACAGGGTTTCAATACGCTCTAAATGCCACACAAGGACACAAGCCTAGCTATCAACAAGCTATATATATCGATCCCAAATGATGGGGACCATCCAACCTGGTCAACACAGGGTTTCAGGATCACTCTCTCGCAGTAATCAGTACGGAGTTACTCTATAAACTGATGTGTATTTCTTTCGTTCAGATTAGAATTGGGTATTAACAGCGTATCACAAAATGGGTATTTCGGAATGGATTAATCGCAATAAGGGATTTGCGTAATTAATTTATGAACAACGTACGACGTAATTTTACAAGGGGCCTCAATATTTACTACAAATTAATTATGCTTAGATAAAAATAGGGTGCCGGGGAATAACTGCCTTTTTGCATGTTTACTTTTATTAACCCCCCCCCCCATTGTCGCAAAAATTGTAATGTGCCACTTTTACCTGTTAAGGAGTTAAAGTATTGATATGGTTTCTTTCCAAAATTTGGTTTATTAACGTGATATTACAAGACTATTCTCAGGGAACCTTAAAGTACTTATCAACTTATCAAATTGCATTGAATTTTGGACCTGTAAAAGATTTTTAATATATCCTTCTATAAAAAGCCTGACTTACAGACCTAGTGCTCATGGGATGAGCTATGCCTTTTAACAATTTACAAAAAACGATAGTCTATCATTTCAGATTGGTCAAAAAGAAAAAATAATTCTCAAACTAGCGAAATTTTAATCTCAAACTTAACAGCCATTAGCAAACGTTAAGAAACATAAAATCATAAGCTATGAACGATAGGTATCAACCATATCAACGTAAATTATTCCGTTTTCCAATAATTAATTCATCCTCTATATTCTGATTTGTTAGGAGGGATGATGTTCTCAAATAAAGTTTAAAATTTTTATTTATTTTTATCCCATTCTAGTTAAAAGTTTGCAGCAGGTTTAAGCCAAGGGTTTAATCTTTTGTTCTCCTTGAATATATGATGACAGGACTGGAAATTATTTCTTAAATCTACAACTTTTTCCATCTTTCAGTCAACCATCATTCATTTCCAAACCAAACCTTTTTATTCTGGTTTTATCTGTGCTGAGACTCAGACATAAATCATATTTGTCGCATATCTAATAGATAGAAAACTTTAAAGGTTTAGCATAGAAGTAGTAGTTTTCTAGGTTGTATAATATATATCTAGCCTGGAAGTAATAGTTCTCTAGGTTGTATAATATATATGTCTAGCCTGGAAGTAGTAGTTCTCTAGGTTGTATAATATATGTCTAGCCTAGAAGTGGTAGTTCTCTAGGTTGTATAATATATGTCTAGCCTTGAAGTAGTAGTTCTCTAGGTTGTATAATATATGTCTAGCCTAGAAGTAGTAGTTCTCTAGGTTGTATAATATATGTCTAGCCTAGAAGTAGTAGTTTTCTAGGTTGTATAATATATGTCTAGCTTAGAAGTAGTTCTCTAAATTGCATAATATATGTCTAGCCTAGAAGTAGAAGTTCTCTAGGTTGTATAATATATGTCTAGCCTAGAAGTAGTAGTTTTCTAGGTTGTATAATATATGTCTAGCCTAGAAGTAGTAGCTCTCTAGGTTGTATAATATATGTCTAGCTTAGATGTAGTAGTTCTCTAGGTTGTATAATATATATGTCTAGCCTAGAAGTAGTAGTTCTCTAAATTGTATAATATGTGTCTGGCCTAGAAGTAGTAGTTCTCTAGGTTGTATAATATATGTCTAGTCTAGAAGTAGTAGTTCTCTGGGTTGTATAATATATGTCTAGCCTAGAAGTAGTAGTTTTCTAGGCTGTATAATATATGTCTAACCTAGAAGTAGTAGTTTTCTAGGCTGTATAATATATGTCTAGCCTAGAAGTAGTAGTTTTCTAGGTTTTATAATATATGTCTAGCCTAGAAGTAGTAGTTCTCTAGGTTGTATAATATATGTCTAGCCTAGAAGTAGTAGTTCTCTAGGTTGTATAATATATGCCTTCTTCTAAAATAACATAAACGTCTGAAACCCAAAAGATTGTATTGTTCACAAAATATTTATTGCTCAAATAATTTTATAGTTTTAAAGCAAGAATGGAAGAAACTAAAATTTTAATGAATACTTTTACAGAGGAGAAAGAGACTGTAAGCGTAATTTCAAGGTACTCTCCATGCAAAGATGGCAATGTCCGATTTGCAATGGTACCCCTGAAACCGTAATCTGATCAAAATGTGGAAGATATCGTTGTTTTCCTGAAGTGTTTATTTCTGATAAGAAACTTACAAGCAAGAAATTCGCAAGTCACTTTCGCAAAAATAAAAGTCAAAAGAAAATTATCAGTTTAAAAACTCTTGAATTTGTAATTCCTTTTAAATCAGACAAAGCTTTTAAGGTGCTTTTAAAAATAACATTGTATCGAGCATTGTCATCTTATCGCAGAGAGTCAATTAAAATTAAGCAGACAGTCCATTTAATACACAAGTTAACGGGTAAGAACAGTTTAATATATTTGATATTTATACAAGACTGTTTTGTAAATATGGAGTCACACCAGGCGATAGAGTTATTCAATCCTGTAATGTTTATTTATCCATCATTCATTTATCAATCTAAAAACAAATAATTTAGAATGATGAAAGAATCAGGGGACTAGTGGATGTAAAAACCTACATTATATCACATATAAATTTATATGTTAGTCTACAGCGTAAATTTGGAAAATACACTTGTTGAAAAAGTTAATTGGGAATATTAAACTTTTGGATAAACTACCAAACACAGAAAGTATTTTTTTTTTCATAAAAGTTTTGATTTATGAACTCTCTGAAATTTTGAAATATCCTTTTTAACAATATTTGAAAAACTGCTGAATCTTGAGAAAATAATTAGATCTTCTTAGCAGCTCACAATTTTTGAGATTTCACAAATTAATGCAGTTTGACGGACATTTTTCATTGTAATGCCTAAGATGTATATTTAACATGTATTATCTTATTCCCATCTCATAATTTGAGTTCGTTTCCCTAACGTCCATTTGACAGCCCAAATTTTTTTTGAAATAATCTTTTTTGTTTGTTTATTTTCTTGTGGTTTTTAACAAATTTTTTAATTTTTTTTATCGATTTTGATGGTTATTATATCGTTAGAACTGACGAGGGTCAACCTAGACCGAAATATATTTTCAATAAATGTGAAACTAACATCTACCTTTTTTTACTCTACAGAGGTTTGGACCATCACCATCATCGAATTTTAATACTATATTTTTGTTCATTGTACAAGACTGAAATGAGATTTGAGTATATTAAATCATAATTTAAATCTAACATATTTTACAGTTTATGGGTTCCACGGTATCTTTACAGAAAAGTGTTTATGAATTAAGCCAGAGCACACTTGAACAAGGATAAGAAGATAAGGAGTGAAGGGGTGAACAACATGAACCCTCCTCTAAATAAATCTTTCGATCACTGCCCCCCCCCTCAATTGGAAATCAGGGTGGGTCAGCAATATTGAGTTTACACAATAAACATCCAAGTCAAATAAGGCTCGGTCGCTGAAGCAATTTTTTTTGAGAGAAATAATGTTGAGTTGAAGTTCTGAAATCCGACGGAAATCTGGTAATTTCCGTGAGATCTCTTAAAATAGGTATTTTAAACTCGATTTCGAGAACAAACATAAGCTTGCATGCCCCCACTCATTTTTATGATGGTTGTTAGAACCTATTTATATATCTATATATCCGTTGTATTTTTGTGTAAAAAAGCTATTAGTATATGGTTTTTTTTGCAATCTTTACCTCTCCTATCCCCACAACTACTCAAATCCTACAACTACTCAATTCCTACAACTACTCAAATTCCTACAACTACTCAATTCCTACAACTACTCAATTCCTACAACTACTCAATTCCTACAACTACTCAATTCCTACTACTACTCAATTTCTACTCCTACTCAATTCCTTCTCCTACTCAATTCCTATTCCTACACCTACTCAATTCCTACTCCTAATCAGCTCATACTACTACTCAATTCCTACTCCTACTCAATCCCTGCTTTTTTCTTTTCTCTCCTTTGTTCATCCTTCTTCCCCTACTAGATTACTGCTCTTCCTTCTAATCCTTACCTACTCGTTTCCTCAATGTCTCGCGGATATCATCCTTCTCTCACTCCTACTCTTCCGGCTCCAACTCCTCCTCATGCTTCTCTAATCCTCCTACCCTCAACACCTTCCTTGTCTCAATACCTATTTAACTCACAAATTCCTTCCTTCTTCCCTCCCTACTCCATTCCTTCTCCTTGTCAAATTCCTCCCCCTCCCCCTCAACCACTTCTGTACTATTTAAACCAGAAAATATTAAGGAATTGAAGGTGTCTTGATTTTATAGCTTGTGAGCCTTCACTCTTGAATCCGCTTTAACGCATTCAATCTAAATTTTTCTTTTTCATGTTTTTTGGGTCGTAGATTATAAATAAATAACTTCCTAGAACTGTTTTAGTTTATTTTGAATTGATTCTCAAAGTTAAAAGTTAAGAAATGTTTTTCCTGAAAATTGTTAATGAAATTGCTTGCAGGTTGAAACCAGATTTTTGCAATGTGAACAATTTTATTTTATTAAATTTGAGCTTTTATTTGTAACATTGGTGTTCTGAACCTTGGTCTGGCGATGGTAGTTCTTTCTTTCAATCAGTTGTATCAACCTTAGTTAATTTAATTAAACTTACTGATTTAACTTCTAACTTTTCTGTTCACTAAATTTATAGGTGTTTCGTTCGTTAACGAACTTTTGCTAAAATCAACCATCAAATTATCTTAAACTTCACCAAAATACAAAATTTGGTTGGAGGGCATAAGAACGAACGAAAGTGTAAGCAATTTTTTAACGAACACTGCTATTTCAGTTTGTTTGCATAACTAATAATTTACAGACTTTTATCAATATTACCGACCCATGATTCCCCCAAACAGCAGAAGATTAACTGGCCTTTGGGACATTAAAGTAAAATAACATGCCGCTCCGTAAAGTTTACCGGTAAAAATTCCCGCGTTTTCATCTTTAAAGACGAAAAATTAAATTCAACTACTTTTTCGGGAAATTAAAAATTTTATCACGGGTTCCCTTGACAAATTTGCCTCCAAAGCATCCTCCCTACCCTCGGATGTTGTTTTACGTAAGTAAAATTGGTCTAGGCTAGAGAACCATATATAAAGTAAATTTCACGTAACTTCCCAGGGAATTTAAAGGAATTTCACTTTACCAAGGGATCCCAAGACCAATTTTGCCTGCATTGCATCCAGAGGCAAAATTTGCTATTACAATTATAAAATTTACAATCTTATTGTCTTTTTAGATGGTAATGTGCAAGTTTCTTCAAAAACTGGTTTAAGGGACGTTAAGTAATAATTATAAGGGCTTTTTCCGTTCGTTAACGGTAAAATTTTCCATAATCTTCCGAAAACTTTCGTTTTTTGATGGAACTTTGTCTAATGCCCACCCCTATCTAAACAATATGAATCGGAAAAAAACATTTTGTAAAACATTTCCAAAAAGAAATATTTTCAAACCGAAATAATTTTTCGGAATTGAATATTTCTTGTAATAATATACGCTCTCTCCACCGCCCCTCCCCCAAAAATTAGGAAAGTTTTTTTTTGAAGAATAAATGAAAAATATCAAATTATTATTTGAAGTTTTATCTTACTTAGCTTGATTAACTTTTTTGTAGTTTGTCAAAATGAAAACAAATGTTATATATTTGTTTTATGTTTTCCATCTATATATAAATTTGGCTTGTCTGTCTGTTTGTCTGTCTGTCTGTTTGTTTGTATCCAATAAACGTCAAAACGGCTAAACCGATTGGGCCCAAATTTTTTGTGGGACATCACGTGACCACAGGGAAGGTTTATGAATGATATCAATTTAAAAGGTTTTTAATTTTGTAAAAAAATTAAAATTCTTGAAAATCCGCGAATATTTTTTTTAAATCCGCAAAATTTTTTTCTTCTTTGTTTTAAAATGTAAACAAAAAGAACATGTTCCCAATTTAAATAGAAGATGGGCGCGAAGCGCCCTAAAAGCCTAGTAATTGTATATTTAATTAATAATTGGTTTTTTTTTATCAGGTATATTTGAGTACCAATACAAACCATGGAGTATGAAATAGAAGGGGTAAATAACTGACGCGGCCACCCTTCCATATAATTATACAATATACATGCTTTGCAGACGGTACTCCATTTGTATTAGAAATATTTGTCTGATGTACAATTACCGTGTATACAAATACAATAACCTATTCTGAATATTTCTCATACAAATGAAGTACCGTCTGCAAAGCATGTATAATTATATAGAAGGGCGGGTCGCGTCAGTTGTATCTCCCTTCTATTCCATATTTCTTGATACAAACTGAATACTTAACCTTGCCACACAGGTATTGCCGTTTAGTATCATCATGTAACATTTCATCTTTTGTCATGAAGGGGTTCATCTGGTATTCTTTAATAGTTTCCAGTATTAACCAGCTCCTCACTTTATTTAGAGTGTAAAATATCCGTTTCACAATGATACCATTTTAACCTTTATCCTGTCGGGTAAAGATAAAGATATTCTTGTTTATATACCTGAAAATTGATTATTATCAACTATGGTTTCTCTGAAACACTGAATGCGGATTTATTTAACATCAGTATGGCTATAATGTCGTCTTCCTATTCCACAGTTTTCAGGTTCTTACAGCACATACGATTTTTCTGAAACCTTTGAAAATACTTTTTATTATATTTTTGCCTTTTTAATTATCCTCAGATCAACTTTCTAATTACAAATTGTATTGTGTCTAAGCAATAAAACATTTCTAGAATTGTAGAAAAACAAAGAAATAAAAAGCTGATAGCTTAATAAAAACTGTGATAATAATGATTAAACAATCTATTATTCCTAGATTTTAAAAGTTTTGAGGTGGTCCTCTTGTAATGTCAAATAAAATGTGTGTGTTTACATGAAGGAGTGNTCTGGAAAATTTTAGCCCAATATATTTCTCATATGATGATTTTCAAAAATAATTTCAAAATTTGTTCTTCTTTGATTTGTTGGTTTCATATTTGGGATACTTTATGAAGAACTAAATTTGATCGTAACGGTTCATTCTGCAGTTTTAGGGTTTAAAAAAATATATTTTATATTTTTTCTCTCCTATTTTGATATTTCTTATTTTATCAAATATTCACGAATTCAACCTCATACACTGCAAACTAAACAGAAGATAAGGTCAAACAAAATATGAGAGACACTAATTATCCGGAAATATATCGGAAGTTAAAAACATGTTTGTTATTCTCAATACCACTTCATTAGGATAAGTTATGACTTAAAGTATTTAGGTTTTCGTTGCAACGTGCAATTTACTTTAGTTTAACGTGCACACTCTTTTTTTCTGTCAGATAAGAGATATATATTATAGTAATGTATAAAGAGAAAAGGATTAATTTGAGAATGAAGGATAAATAGAGAAGGTTTAATCTCCTAGTGAGACTTCATATTTACAAACAGTCTTGTATAAATATCAAATATATTGAAAAGTTTTCAATCATGGGTGCAAAAAACCCGACCTATTAGTTATTGTATTAACATGTAAAAGTATTCATTGAAATATTTAGTTTGTTTTATTCTTTCTTTAAAACTATAAATATATTTGAGCAATAAATATTTTGTAAACAATACAATCTTAAAGGTTTCAGACGTTTATGTTATTTTAGAAGAAGGCATGTATTATACTACCTAGAGAACTACTACTTCAAGGCTCGTCATATATTATACAACCTAGAAAACTACAACTTCTAGGCTATATATTATATTATACAACTTAGAGAACTACTACTTCTAGGCTAAACATATATTAAACAACCTGGAACTACTACTTCTAGACTATATATTAAATTATACAATCTAGAAAACTACTACTTCTATGCTAGACATATATTATACAACCTAGATAACTACTAATTCTAGGCTTTATATTATATTATAGAACTTAGAGAACTACGACTTCGAGGCTAGACATAAATTAAACAACCAAGGGAACTACTACTTCTAGGCTATATATTATATTATACAACCTAGAAAACTACTACTTCTAGGCTATACATATATTATACTACCTAGAGAACTACTACTTCAAGGCTAGTCATATATTATATTTATCATTTATATTTGTCTAAAGCAAAATTACATTAAACAATATAAAAGTTTACAAACTAATACTCTTTTCTCTGGATATCG